CTCCACTACAGAACCTTTTTAAAGCTTAGAACTCAAATAAAACCCACCTTAGGGCCTCCGTTTGCCCTGGTTCTGTCTTCTCAGGCTCGACCAATCAGAGCTAGTGAAACCCTAAAAGGTCCAAAAGCAGCTGAGGCTGGACTGAGCAGTGAGTCAGACGGTTTCAGCACAAAGACAAACTGGCTGTGGTTCGTCATTAGAGCCCTTTAAAGTGGCCTGAGGCTTATCGCCTGTAAAAACTTCTCCATTCATCAGAGAGATGTTGTTTTAAACATTAAATCAGTCACTTTGTCTTCAATAAAGAAACATTTCTGTTGCTTTAGTTGTGAAACATTTTAAAGCAAACAGACAAGACACTTCATCATGTGGCTGGAAAAGTACTGAACAGACTGAGTGAAGCTGTAAAAGTGTTTAAAGACACATAAGTGAGTGTCCACAAACACTGGACAGAGGAGGACAGGCGGGGTGGGGTCTTAGTCTGGTGTTTAACTAGTCCTGCAGTCTGACAGACAAAATGTCCCCCAAAACATGACAGACAAAAAAGACAGGACAGAAAAAAGACAAGTCAGGGACAAAGAAGACAGGGAGGACTGGACCAAACTAGGCCGAACAAAGCAGGACAAGATGAGACAAGACCAGCAGAACCAGGGACACTATGGAGAGACAACACAGACAGTGTAAGACAGGACACGACATATGATGGCACAACAACCTCGAGGACAAGCTGAATCAAGGACAGGACATACTGGGACAGACAGAGAAGAGGGCGAGATATCCTGGTGGTTGTGATCATCTGGGACACCAGTCGATTTCACGGCTTGTGCTGAGTTAGTTTCACCTTCATCCTCTGAAGGAGATCAGTGTAAATGTCAACACCACGTTCACGTACGCCCATTCTGCTGTTGACATGACTGAGAAAGAGAATTTCTAACAGTGAAAACCTTCTCACAGACAAATGATGTGTAGCTGGGGATGTGTGTCACTGTGAGCCCGGCAGCAGCTGTTTGTTCATGAGGGGCACAGACAGCGAACAGATTCTGGATGAGCTGATGCAGCTGATAAATTGCTGCTGTGTCTGCTTTATATTAGATTGGCCTGCGTTTATCCAGCAGCACAGGCCACCGGTCACTGCCTGTGTGCACCACAGCCGGGTGGGGGGCAGTAAACAAGAGAGAGGGACAACAGGAGGAGGCAATGAAGGATGTGATAGGATGGGTGCAGTTCTGTGTCCTCCATTTTCCGGAGGATAAACTCAGACGAGCAGCAGCTGCTGTCCTAGACATTGAAGTGATTTAGTCTGTTTGTAATGTGATGAATCCGTTTAACATATTAACGTAATACGGTGCAATGGGCTAACAGAGTAGTGCATAGTATACAATGTAATACAGTATACATGTGTAGTATAGTTGTTAAACAGTACGATACACTGTCTTTGCTCAATGTCGAGCTTTATTTTTTCCCGCCATGTTCCTGTTCCACACAACACCTGCACACTCCCGTTCTCCAGACCTTCCAGTGTTTTCACAATAAAAGCCTAAACAGAATACTATACCTGTAAACATTTATATATAAACATGTACATGAACACATCTTAATGTATGGAACTTAACATAGTAACATAAAATCTGACATCAGAGAGGATTTAGCATTTCATTGGAAAATGACTGAATGATTTAAACAGTTGATTTCTTTTCTTACAAGCCTGACTTGTGCATTCTCAAATAAATACTGCAATGCTGCAGCTGTTACTCCGATTCTTAATTAAAACCCCACATGGTCTTAATTAGTGTGTAAAATGTAAAATCCTCTTCTTGGTGTGTCAGAGTCCAAAATCTCAGTGAACTGATGGTGAAAATGGACAATAATATGTGGATCCCGAAACTAAGTCCAAACCCTCTGGCGCTTACATGTTTGTGGAAAAACACACCTGTGTAACTTTGTGTCTGTAGGCGTGATGGGTGTCGTGGACATGGACGAGCTCGGGGACAGACAGACAGACTTTGCCATGTGGGACATGACGGACGTTGACTCTGGAGAGTTTCAGGTGAAAACACTTTGGTTTGTGATGTCATGCAGCTGAGGGCAGATGTTTCCCCTGTGACCACACCCACCAGTGATGTCACAGTGTACTGCAGTACACCTGTGCAGGTATATGTGTAACAGCAGCATGTGTATGTGTTCAGGTCGTGTGTGTGTACAACAGCAGTATGAAACAGCTGGTTATGCGGAGTGGGCAGAGCTTCCAGTGGCCAGGTGGATCTCCACCTGCAGACATCCCAGAGTGTGGATTGAAGAACGACAAGCCAGCCTGCCTTGCACGTACGTACATACATAAACACACAGATATTTGCACGTTGTTATTGTGAGGATCTGCAGTTTTAAACATGTAAACACTGTGAGCAGCATCTCTGCCACCACCATGTTGCAGCAGGGTTCAGTTCAAACAGGAGAGAATGCCAGACTCAGGGAGGAAGACCAAGCAAACCTTTCACACGTGGTTTGTTACTGTGCTGCTTTCACTCTTACAACATTTGACTTTGTTATTTACTGCTACAGTAATGGGTGACTTAAAATCAAAACAGAAATATGAAAAAATATAAATATTTTACTATAAATGAAATAAAAAACAGCTGTATGGCTTGAGAAAAATGTACTTCATGTTTTAAAGTTGATATTTGTATCACATTTGTGTTACACTGCAGTGAGAAAAAGGAACAAACTTGGAAACTAATCACAAAGTCCATCTTAAATTATATAGAAATGTCACTGTCACTATCTACAAATGATGAAGTGTTTTGTTCTGAACATTCACATTTTGTGTGTAACGAAGTTTCCTGTATCATAAATACATTTGTGGTATTTGCACCAAACAAAACCACTGTACATCCACTTTGTTCTGATGGTTTAAACTGCGCATGGACCTCCTGTGTTCATACACAGACACACGGTAGGAGGCTTCCCTGTACCAACATGGTGGCTGCAGTGAACAACAGCAGCTCATGATGAATCTCTGGTGGATCCTCATAGGGAGAATCCATTCCTTACTCCTCGCCCAAACCTTAGCTAAACCGGGTCTAACTTTGACACAACCACCAGGTCTAAGTCCTCCAACATCCTTCTGAGGAAGCGAGGACTAAACCAAACGTCCTCACTTTGCAAAGTCTTTGCTTCTCAAAGGAGGTCCCCAGTGTCCAAATAATGTTCTAACCTCCGGCTTTAAACTGTAACTGGTCCTCACAAAGACACAAGCATAATGTGAGCTGTCGACGCTGTGTCTTTTCTGATGTCCACTTCCTTTCCTCCTCGTCTTCTCAGGTACGGTCTCGATGCATCAGATGGTTGCCATAGTGATCTGCTTTGTATTTGTCATCATCGTTACTGTGACCATCTTCATCTACAGGTGAGACTCACTCACATGTTTGCACATCTATACTTGTGAAGACCGTCACTGGCAACCCTGTGAAAGTTGGTCCCAATGTCCTGACTTTGTAAAATGTCCTCGCTCACAGGTCTAAAGCTCAAACTGGTCCTCACAAAGATATGTGTACAAGAGCAAACGCACACTTTTTGGTGGGTTGAGCTCTCATAGCACCTCTCTCTCTCTCTCTCTCTCTCTCTGTCTTTGTTTTTACTTTTCTTCTGTCATGTATTCTTCCATCCATCTTTTCGCCATCTCTCATCTTTATTTTTTCTTGTCACACATCTCCCCGTCAACATAGAGAGATCGCAGCGAGGCCCAGGATGAAGGAGGGATGGATGAATGTGTAGATAAAGAGGGATGAACAAGGCTGATTGTTTTCTCTCCTTTCCTCCCTCTATCTCTCTCTCCTCTCTGTTAAACAGCTGGACAGAGGTTTTTGAATCCTCAACTGCCAAGGCGGGATAAAGAGCTAACGTCTGCTCTGATTGGCTCCGAGTTTGAATCCACACTGTGAAAAATGCCTCCTGTTTTTAGTTCATGTTCACGTACTAAGCAAGAAGTCCTCACTTCGCCACAAAGTTTGGACATGAGGGACTTCACTCAAATTGAATATATGCTACAACTTATTGTAGTTTTGCAGGGTAGAGGCGATTAGATTAGACTAGGACTAACCCTAACACCTAACCCTAGGACTGCATGAAGCCATTACTTTCTCTGTGTTGATAAAATTAGTGTAATCTGCTCTGTGTAACATTTCCCATCAATAAGCCATCAACACATATATAAACTGCAGTAACTGGATATCTGCAAAAACTGATCCAGGGTGCCAAAAGGTATGAGACTGAACTCATGATGACAGCAAATGGTGGGAGGAGGCAACAGTCCTGATAGAAACATCTCCCACATTTCACCACTTGTCTGAGAGACTGAGATTCTGGTCTAAGTCCATGAACCAGAGTATCAATGTTATGTCAAGTGTTAAAATCATACACATCAGATAAGTGGTGCTCAGTTGTATTGTTTTTTGTCATCTTCAGTCTGTCCATGTAATAAACCCAGCTGCACAGAAGAGCTGTTCACTCAGTTTGCTCTTTCTGTCTCTCACTGGTTTCCTATGGTCATGTGACATGGACGTGAACATCAGAAAGATTCCCGTGGTCAAGTGTAAATTACAGTTTAGTTTACTTAGTTTAGTTATCCTCAGGACCTCTGAGATCCAAAAGCCTGTCCTCCACAACATGGTGACCACACAGGGTGAATGGAGAACCAGAGGGTCAAGGACCATCTAACGTGGCCTTCAAGAGCTGCCCCAGGCCTCTTCCAGCAGCTGAAGGGTCCTCCAGGTGATCTGGAGGTGATCTTGAATTCAGAAGAGGACAGCACAAGGACCACTGGGTCACCAGGAACGTCTCATTCCTGACAAAGTCTTCAAAGATGGCGTCAAGGTCGGGGCTGGGTGGTGGCACTAGTTGGATCAGTGACCCTAGATCAGCAGGATTCTGTAGTCTTCCAAGACCTCACTATAAGTGAAGGAAACAGTATGTAACCCCAAAATATGTAATACCAGCTTCAACCTCAAGGCCTGGATTGGACTGGGAAGTGCCCCTGTGGGTTGCTCTGGAGGACCCAGCCACTCCAGATCTTTCCCATCTGTTATGTCCCCAGGGTAAATCAGCCCCATCCCCTTAAACCTCCTAGACTGGGGTCTGGCACTGTTGCAGAAAAAAATGTGTTAAATTATTTTCGATGTCTACAGGACTGTACTGTATAGCCAGTGGTGTCACTGTCAGTATTTCAACATGCCTCTAGCACTGTGAGAAAAAAACACAGTCCCTTAGTCACTGGAGTGTCCGGACATGCCGTGCCAGCACAGTGGGCTCAGGCAAAAATAGTCAGGGTCAACTTTTGTAGCAACATAGCCACCATCATCCTGCACAACACTGCTTTGGTCAGGTACATGGAAGTGAACAGTCCCTCCTCCGTGTATGTGTATTTCTGCTTATTAACTCGATCAGTTGTTGTGATGAAAGATGGAGTTGCTGTCACATGAAAACTGGACAGGAAACACCTTTGTCTCTCTTTGTTTCTGTCTCACTGTTCAAGACACTCATCACTTTCTTGGTTTCCCTTTCCCTCATCTTTCTCTTTGTTCCCCCTCCCCCTTCACACACGCGCGCACACACACACACGCACACACACACACCTGTCTTCCGGTCTGTTGAACAGGAAGTTGAAGCTGGAGAGCGAGCTAGCAGCTCAGCTGTGGAGGGTTTTCTGGGACGACGTCCAGGTGAGCAACCTGGATAAAGTGCTGAAGAGAACCTGCAGCCGACTTACCATGTCTCTGGTAAAGCACAAACAACACAAACTCACAGGAGAATTAGTTTAAATGGATTCCACTAACTCCTGCCCGAACTCGTTAAGCCAAGCTCGTTTTGTTTCTCTGTAGAAAGGATCCAACTATGGCTCCCTGATGACCATGGAGGGAGACTTCCAGATCTACACTAAGACTGGATACTACAAGGTCTGACACTGCCTTACTCCATGTGCATTCAGCAGCTGCTCTGAGGAACAACATGAGGTGACATACTGGTGTTTTGTCTCCTTCAGGGAAACCTGGCAGCCATCAAATATATCAACAAGAAGCGTATTGAGTTGACCAGGAAGGTTCTTTTTGAACTGAAGCATGTAAGACCTCAGTGTATCTCTCAGGCATCTTACAGTGGACCTGCCTTCTTATGCCCGGTGCAGAGTACACGGTTTAAGCCTGATAACAGCCCGACATGACGGATGTAGGGCACCAGAACCAACAAACGGCGTCAGACACAACATTTAATAAACAACAACCAATGCTGCATCTGGGACGCCTCATGATGTCCCGACACAAAGCTCACCATGACAAAATGATTTTTATCATTTAGGATGTGCTGGGTTTTTTAGTCTAGAGGTCCAACAGGAGCACAGATGGTTCTTCTGCTCACAATGCTTATTGGCATATTGGATTGAACCATATTCCATAAATATCACAGTGATACAGCTAATGTTAGCTTATTGACTTTCACAGTCAGTCTGGGAAGTAGCTTCCCTGTCGGGGCTAGTTTTCAATTTTACTACCAGCTTAAAACACTTATACTTAACTGATACTTCAAGTTATACATGAAGGCAAGCCAACACAAGCTGCTGTGCTCTTTGTTTGACCCTTTAGACTGGTCTACGATTGCCCCCCCACCCTTTTATATGGTTTTCCGAACGCAAAGAGCCAGTATCACACACACCCTTCTTCCAGTCCCTGGCACCTCCAGGTTGTGAACAACGGCAAGCTGTGACCTGTTGGATACCAACATGCAGTCTGTCATATCCCTCCACCAAGAATCTATCACTATAATCGTGTAATCTGACATAATGACCATTTATCAGACAAAAAACAAATGTGTAGCCTGAGCCGGGCATTAGGTTGACTGCTGAGAATGTTCTCTGGGAGGCCAGTGCCTTGTATGTAGGGTGCTGATGAGTTTGGTGGGATTTGAACCAGCTGCCTCTATGTTTTTGCAGATGCGTGATGTTCAGAATGAGCACCTTACCCGCTTCATTGGTGCCTGCATCGACCCGCCCAACATGTGCATCATCACAGAGTACTGTCCCAGAGGAAGTCTCCAGGTACTGCACAACCCAATGGTTTACCTGTACATCAGGCCTGCATACCCCTCTATCAACCTTTTATACCCCTCTGTCAGCCCTTCATACTCCAGCAGGCCTGCCAACCCATACACATTTTGTGTAGCACATACACATTTTGATATCAAAGTACACAGGTACAATTTGTCAAACACAAAAATCTGATGACACCTTATGAGTCTGACCTGTTGTGCAAGCATCCAGCCCATAGACAGAGGTCTCCTGTGGAACAAGAAGAAGAGTTTGCCAGATTCAGGGATGATTGACAAATGCATAATTTAATGTCATGTCAAGAGACACTAGGATCTGTAAATTGACATGTGACAGGTAAACTTCAGTCTCTAGAAACTCCTCCCCTTAAACAATCACTTGACAGGTAGCTCTGTTTTAGGATGTCCTCTCTTTACACAGGCAGGTAACGTCTAATAACAGGCACCTTTCTTGGCCGGTGCAGGCAGCATAAACTGTTCAGACACACTTCATGCTGCTGCTTGGTGAGCTTGTAAGATGGGTATTTATCTTCTATCAGTCCTCATTCCTTCATCCATCACATCTTCACTTCTCACTTAGACTCTTCTGTCAGTGCTGTAACCTAGCAACCAGCCTGCATGGTAACTCAGCAACAGAGAGGACCTGTCAGCATGCTGTAGGTGGATGTGGGTGCTGTGGAGTTCAGGTTGTTGTCAAGATGACCGCTACATCCCACAGTGTCAGTTTACCAAAGAGCTGTGTGGGCGGTTTGAGCTATTTTGTGCTGTGAGAGGAAGAAGATGTTACCACAGCAGCATGGTGTGGACATCCGGCCATCGGGAGATGGAGTCTCCACAGATGGCATGTCCTCAACTCGCTGCAAGCACTGATCATTTACAGCACGTTCAGCACATGAAACCCTTTAGTGCCAAAGACTACATGCACCAAAGCAACACAAGAAATGCATTAATATAACATGTACATTACAGGTAATACAGTAGTATTGACTTTGTCCTTCAACGGAAGCAGAAAGAGTCACAAGTAAACATCTTGTTTAAAAGTCATCAGCTTACACACGTGTTGTATAACTATAATCTGCAGCTGTCAGATAAATGTAGTGCAGCAGAAGTATAAAGTACTGCACAAAATGGAAATACCCCAACTTTTAAGTACCTCCAAATTGTACTTGGGTAATTTTTAGGTACATTTCCACCACTAACTGTTATTTTGTCTGGATGTTTCATGGCAAGGTTGATATGATGCCTCTTGTTTCTAAAAATGTCACTCTGAGCCCTTTTTTAGTCTGAAGCCAGTTCAGACAGCATCAGTGGGGCCACTTATTTATTTATTTATATTCATTTATTTTTACTTATTGAATATCCAAGAATTTAACTGAAAAACCAAATCTGCATTTTATTTATTAATTTGTTTCTGAAACATTTATAAAACATGTTCTTGAGAGTTATGTGTAATTATATGATCAGATAGTAAAAGTAAGTGTAAACTTGGTTCTTTGTCATTTGTACCATGACAGCAGGCCTTAAACGCATTTCCTTTAAGGTGTCTTTAGTCTGTTGACCATGCACTTTACAAAGAAATTAAAAATACAGCTCAGTGATTAAAATAAAAATAACAGTTATGTAATCATATTCATTATGGTCATATCAAAGGGATTTCACTGTGTATTTTAAAAGTAGATTTACAGTGGAAGCAGTCAGGAGCTCAGAAAACCAAAACTGTCAACTGCTACTTTTCTCCTCTGAACCAAATGAAACGATGAAGTGTCCTGCTCAGAGTAACTGGACGTTTTGCTAATGGTCACATAGACTGAGTGGTCAGTTTATTAGGAACGCCTGTGTCAGACTAAGTCAGTCTAATCCAGTCAATTTTAACATGTTCTCATTTTCTTTAGTTTATGTGTCTTAACATGTTCTGCTTTTATTTTTAATATGTTATGCTGTGAAGCACTTTGAGCACCCTTGAGTGTTGTAAAGCACTATACAAACAAATTAAATTAAATTAATCCAGCAGTCCTGCAGCAAATCCCCATTGCTGAAGGCAACAATGTTCAGTTTGTCCACACAGTTTCACAGAGGTGTTGATTAGACTGAAATAGTTTTAGGTGTTCCTAATAAAATGACCTCTCATACACAGAAACAGAAGAAGCCATTATGCACACACAGTGAGCTCTCAGGTGACTGATTATTGTTTGGGTTGGCGTGGGCCTTCACAAGTATAGAAGGGTAAACATGTGTGTTTATCCTGCAGGACCTGATGGAGAGTGACAGCATCACTCTGGACTGGATGTTCAGATACTCTCTCATCACTGACATCGTCAAGGTAACGACCTGTCCCCAGGGTGGGGGCGGGGATTAGTCATGTTTCCCACTGAGACTGTGATACTGAAGCCACTTTTTCATGTGGCCACCAGGGGGCTCTAAAACCCCCTTAATATGTCGACATTTTGAACAGTGAACAGCTAAGTAGAAGTATCAACAACACAGAGTAAAAATACACTGTTACAAGTGAAAGTCCTACATTCAAAATCTTAGTCAGGTAAAGGTCCAAAACTATTAGCATCAAAATATGCTTGAAGTAGCAAAAGAAGTGCAGATTCTTAGTCATCCAGGTCATAAAACATCAACGATGGGGATAAATATCTCTGACTCAATGCCAGTTGGGCAGAACTGATGAAGCCTTTTGGATGAGAGGTGAAACGTCTTTGACCTAAAAACCTAGTCCAGTTGATTTTTTTTGTTTGTTTGTTTTTTCAGCTAGCAAAAGTAGTCATTCTGCAGAGTGGCACATTTCACATTACTGTTATATCATATTATTGGATGATAATGAGTGATGCATCATTGTGTTCCTCTATGAAGTAGCAGAAAATGGAACATTCAAGTACAATACTGTAAAACTGTACCTAAGTACAGTACTTGGTAAATATATGTAATTACTCTTTACCACTGCTGATTTATACAGCATTTGTGTTTTGATGCCTTCACAAACACTGCCCTGTGTGACATCCAGTCCATCAGGTTAGTGCAGCTTCCCACACAGCCAGCTCACAACAATGACAAAATAAAATACAGGAAGAGTCAAGTCATTCAGACTCTAAACTTGTTAAATTTTAGAGCACAGTCCCACATCTATTGTTTTCCAGCTGAAGGTAGGAAGTGACATCATCCAGGTGCTGTTTATACGGAAACACAGACATCCAGCTGTTTAAGCCCAGTGTGCTGGAGTTTGCTCTACGCTGGATGGTACGACGGGGCACCCGTAAAGAAAAACTGAACCCATTTATAAAAACTAGAAGCCAGTAGGAAACATCCTTGCAGTATTTAACGTAATGTGAAAAAAGTCAGACTGATAGTAAAGAATTGAGTGTGCCCAGCTGCTGTTTTTGAGCCATGTTAGTGTTTACTGTTTTTGTTTATTGTCTTGTGTCCAGGGCATGGCGTTCCTCCACAACAGCGTCATCGTCTCCCATGGCAACCTGAAGTCCTCGAACTGTATAGTGGACAGTCGCTTTGTCGTGAAGATCACAGACTATGGGTTGGAGAGTCTCCGGACCAGCAGCTGCCTCGAGGACACGCATGCTTGCTACGCACGTATGATGACATCTACACGCACACGCTTACTATGCATGTACGACAACACACATGTACGCTTACTCACTAAAACTATGGCAAACCATGGAGTTCAGTGGGTGTGCATGTTAACAGTGTGTGTTAACATGTACATAAAGTAAATACATGTTAACGTACAATAAATGCATGTTAACACGTTTTAGATGTGTTAACACGTTACAGTGCCCCCCCCTTACTAAGTCATATTGCTTTGTACCTACATGAGCCAGAACAGAATCCATCTGACCATAGTGTTTACATTTGTCAGACCCTACATTTAAGGTTGTAATCATGATGTGGGCGTACCTAGGACCATATGTCAAAAGGGGTTGACCCCTGTATTTTCAGCCACCTGTCAATTGCAACAGAATCACACAAATCTGTTGTCCGACTGGACTGTGTATGTGGGTTTATTTTTATATAAGTCACAATTTATTATTCTGTTCTGTCAAGTTAGCTAAGTTTAAATATGTTAAGAGTTGAGTTTGTACCCCCTGGGTAACTGGTCTGGGCCGTGTATGACACTGCTCTAGTGTCAAATGAAAGACATTCACAGATGCAGTGTGTCATGAGGCTGGCTGACACCTTGCTGCCCTCCCTATCCCTGCAGGTAAACTGTGGATAGCTCCAGAGCTGCTCAGGTGCAACTGCCCACCCCCCCAGGGGACTCAGAGAGGAGACGTTTACAGCTTCGGGATCATCCTTCAGGAAGTGGCTCTGCTCAGGGGGGTTTTCTACCTGGACAATCACAGCTTCACTCCTGAAGGTTAGCGAGTCGGAGTCAGAATCTAGCCACAGGGGTTGCAAGCCAGTTACTTCTGTGCCGGTCCCAAGCCCGGATAAATAGAGAGGGTTGCATCAGGAAGGGCATCCGGCGTAAAAACATGCAAAATTTAAACATGCGAATCATCAGTGTGAACTCCATACCGGATCGGTTGAGGCCCGGGTTAACAACGACCGCCACCAGTGCTGTTGACCTACAGGGTGCTGGTGGAAATTGGACTACTGTTGGTCGAAGAAGGAGAGGAGGTAGAAGGATTTGTAGACAGAGAGAGAAGAGGAAAGGCAGGAGTATAGGTCTGAGAATAGGGACTCTTAACGTTGGCACAATGACAGGGAAAGGTAGAGAGCTGGC